AAGGCTCGGGAAAAATTCCAGGTCAAAGGATAATTCTGGAGAGTTCAATCATGATTCAGATACAAACTCCTGATGAAGATGAACTAGTTCAACATCAATTTAATGATACGAGCTAATTCAAATATCAACATACCAGTTTTAGTTTAAGGTTTCGATAACGGTCAGACGATAAACATAGCACCGGAAGAATTTTAGACTATTTGACAAAATACAAAAAAGACTGAAAGATGACTAAGTTAACGAATTGAAGCTTAGGCCAACCATATCCAAAATATTCTAGTCTCCTCTATAAAAGAATGAGACTGAAACACTTTTGAGAGGGTATTTGTAGGCTGTACGCGTAGGAAATTACGAGAAACTTGAGAATTGAATCTGTATTATTCTCTCTAACTGACTTAGAAAAAGAATGATTACTATCCTCTCAATATTCTCTAACTGACTTAGAAAAAAAAACTATAGTTTTCTTTATCGATTCCCCGATTTACAAAAGAGGGAAGAATGAAACCTTCCCTTTGTTTAAAACTGAGTTCTTTCTTTGTGGCGATGGGAGTTTGAATCTTGTATCCCGTTGACGATCCGAGCACTTCAACTTTATGGGGTGTTGGTCTTCTCTCCTTGACTTGACACCTTGAGAGAACTTGTGAGGCAAGTTTATAACTCTAGCTGAGTTTTGAGAATTCTCTGTGAGAGTGTCAAGAACTTGCAAGACAAGTTCGGAACTCTACACGAGTTTGGGGGACTTGCTAGGCAAGTTGAGAAACTCTCTGTAAGAGAGTTAAGAACTCTAGGCGAGTTTGAAAGAAACTTGTTTGAACAAGTTAGAGACTCTCTGTGAGAGAGTTGAGAAACTCTAGCTGAGTTTAAATCCCCAAGAAGGGTTAATTTTAGAGAGAAGATGAAACTCAAGAAAACTAACCCAAATGGGTTTAAAGAGCAATCCAAAAAGCTCCAAGAAAGCTCCAAGAATGCTCCAAGAATCCTCTCCAAGAAGTATCTCTCCTTCTCTTTCTTCTCTCTTTTGATCCCCCTTTTCTCCTCTTTTTTCCTCTTTTTTCCCAGCCTCTGGCTTATTGGAGATCCAACCCTATTTATAGGGTTATCATAGAGTAAGGCACCCCATAATAGGCCCTTAATTGTGCCCATACCTTGATGGGACAGTTTTGAAAAGTGTTCCAGCGTCAAAAATGCAAGGGTCTCGTTCTGGAGAGAAAAACACGGGTGAACTCTGCGTCTGACGACCTTCGCGTCTGGCGACCTCTGCGTCTGAGCTTAGGATGAACTCCGTGTCTGGTGACCTCTACGTCTGGTGACCTATGCGTCTGACGACCTCTACGTCTGGCAACCTCCGCATCTGGGATTGGGACGAACTCCGTGTATGGTGACCTCTGCGTCTGGCGACCTCTGCGTCTGGCGACCTCTGTGTCTGGCGACCTCCGACCTCCGCCTCTGGGCTTGGGACGAACTCCATGTCTGGTGACCTCTGCATCTGGCGACCTTTACGTTTGGCGACCTTTGCGTTTGGCGACCTCCGCGTTTGGATTTGTAGAGATCGTCAATTTTTAATCTCTTTCCTTTGACTTCTGTGCAGATTGTCATTTTTGTAATCTTTACACTTGGCCTTTGTGGAATGTGAGAGTCATCAATTTGCAACTCTAACACGTTGCTGTGAAAGTCTTTACATTGTAACTTTCATTGACTGTTTGCGGAGGCCGTCAGATTGTAACTTCCGCTTGTTGATGTGAAAGACGTCAGATTATATCTTTCATCATCTATTGAATCAGTAGAGATCAGCTATTTATAGTGATTTTTAAACAGCCTACAGTACCCCCTCCAAAAATTTTGAAAATTCACGGTTCACTAGAATGAATTTTTGGAATACTTTGGATCCTAAAATGATTTTCATGATTCTGCATACAATGGGATTTTTGGCAAACTCTCAACCATCAATGGATTTGATAAGACTTTACCGACTACCGTTTGAGTCGGGCTAGCATATGGATTGTCTAAGTCCGTTCCACATATAACGTTGTACTAAAAGAATGAACTCTCTTAGGCTTAGTGCTATGATATTGAATACATAGACTTTGCCGCTATTTCTTCATGTGTTATATTTTCATTTGAAACACTGAAAGAAAGTTTGAAGTGCCAGAGGTGTAGTATTAACTTAGCATGAATTTTTACTTAGAGCGAAATTCAGAAATTTTCTGCATTATCACTAGGATAACTCCAGAAAATCTTCAATCCGCTGGGGATTCTATAATGAAGACTTGCTATTTATTTTTGAAATAGACCTAACAAGTTCATTAGGGGTTTGCCTATTGGAGGTGTGGTGTTAACCTAATAGTATTTTATGGGCCTATCGCTCTATTGAAGAGAGTCGATAAACTGGTTTGGTCGTCAGAGGTGTGATGTTAACTTGACGAGTTTGTACCTGTGATTTGAACAAGATTTTGAAGACTTAGCGTCTTGTTGGGGAAGATTACGATTTGAGCAATTTTGATGACCTATCATCCTATTGGAGAGGATTGATAAGTTAACTGTCAGAGGTGTAGTGTTAACATGATAGGAATTTTGTTGAGATTTGAACAACTTTGTGGACCTATCATCCTATTAGAGAGGATTGATAAGCTGACTGTCAGAGATGTAGTGTTAACATGGCAGGAATTTTGTTATGATTTGAATAACTTTATGGACCTATCATCCTATTAGAGAGGATTGATAAGCTGACTGTCAGAGGTGTAGTGTTAACATGACAGGAATTTTGTTATGATTTAAACAACTTTGTGGACCTATCATCCTATTGGAGAGGATTGATAAGCTGACTGTCAGGGGTGTAGTGTTAACATGACAGGAATTTTGTTGTGATTTGAACAACTTTGTGGACCTATCATCCTATTGGAGAGGATTGATAAGCTGACTTTCAGAGGTGTAGTGTTAACATGACAGGAATTTTGTTGTGATTTGAATAACTTTATGGACCTATCATCCTATTAGAGAGGATTGATAAGTTGACTGTCAGAGGTGTAGTGTTAACATGACAGGAATTTTGTTGTGATTTGAACAACTTTGGACCTATCATCCTATTGGAGAGGACTGATAAGTTGACTATTAGGGGTATAGTGTTAACATGATAGGAATTTTGTTGTGATTTGAACAACTTTGTAGACCTATCATCCTAGATTGTCAGAGGTGTAGTGTTAACATGACAGGAATTTTGTTGTTATTTGAACAACTTTGGACCTATCATCCTATTGGAGAGGATTGATAAGTTGATTGTTAGAGGTGTAGTGTTAACATGACAGGACTTTTGTTGTGATTTGAACAACTTTGTAGACCTACCATCCTATTGGAGAGGATTGATAAGTTGACTGTCAGAGGTGTAGTGTTAACATGACAGGAATTTTGTTACATTGATAAGTTGACTGTCAGAGGTGTAGTGTTAACATGACAGGAATTTTGTTATGATTTGAACAACTTTGTGGACCTATCATCCTATTGGAGAGGATTGATAAGTTGACTGTCAGAGGTGTAGTGTTAACATGACAGGAATTTTGTTATGATTTGAACAACTTTGTGGACCTATCATCCTATTGGAGATGATTGATAAGTTGACTATCAGAGGTGTAGTGTTAACATGATAGTAATTTTGTCACCAGAGAAGATTGTCATATTGAATATAAAATAGACTGAAGTTATACTCCATGGGGATGATGATCATCAGAAGTATAATATTAACTTGACGACGTGAAAGATTTTGTTACTCTTAATCCAGTGGATTTCAAGCAACCAACCCCCAGTCTAAGTGAGTTCAGTTTCTCTTTTTAGACTCAGTTGGAGGGAAGAAAAAAGGAGGTCCCATGATTCTCTACGAGTAATATTTCTTGAGAAATTTCCCGTTGATTGGCATCATGAGCCTATCACCTTTTTGATTGATGAGACGGTAGGCTCCATTCGAGTAGACTGACTCTACCACGAAGGGTCCTTCCCATTTAGGATTGAACTTCTCTTTCATCTTGTGCATCATGACCATAGGTCGTCTAACTGCTAAGACAAGATCGCCTCTCTTAAAGATCCTTTCTTTGACCTTTTTGTTGTAGGCTTTGGAGATTCGGGCTTGGCATAACTCGATCTGTTGTTGAGCATGAAGTCGCTTATCATCCAACGCTTCTAGTTCTTGAAGGCATAGTCGATGATGGTCCTCATCTGTCATCCCGATCGCAAGGAAAACTCTCATGGATGGGATCTGAATTTCTAATGGTAGCACAGCCTCGCAGCCATACACCAAAGAGAAGGGAGTAGCTTTTGTTAGGGTCCTCACCATTATACAATAGGCCCATAGACATTCGCCGAGTCGTTCGTCCCAGTCGCATCGGCTTTTGGAGACGAACTTCTTGAGAAGCTTTACGATCATCTTGTTAAAAGCTTCTGCAAGGCCATTAGCTGACGGATAATATGCTATTGACGCAACGCTTTGGATTCTAAACTTATTGCATAATCTCTGAAAACTGTAGCTGACAAATTGGGCTCCATTATCATGAACTATTCACCGGGGTACGCCAAAGCGGTAGACGACATGGTGTTTGATGAACTTGACCACGTCCGAAGCCTTTTATTTCAAAGGAACTGCTTCTGCCCATTTGGAAAAGTAATCGATTACTGCTAAGATAAACCGATGCCCTTTGGATGTTGGAGGAAAAATGGGTCCAACAATATCCATTCCCCACATCTCGAATGGCCAAGATGGAGATGTGGGATGCAGATTCCCTGGTGCTTGATGAATGAAATCACTATGGACCTGGCACGCGTGACATCTTTTAGCATAATTGACGGCGTCAACGATCATTTTAGGCCAATAATAGCCGAGCCTGCGGAGTCGATCCCCTAGTTTAGCTCCGGGTTGATGAGCTCCACACATTCCGTCATGAGCTTCCTTGAGGGCTTCTTGTGCCTTTTTTCTGGAAAGGTAGCGAAGTAAAACTCCATCATGCGATTTTCGATACAAAGTTCGAGATGCCGCATCATAATAGAATCGAAGGGCCTTCCATTTGACGGTGGCCGCTTCTTTAGAATCATCGGGTAGGATGTCGTGCAAGACATAATCGATGAATGGGAATTGCCAATCTCTTTGTTCAAGGCTTGTGGAAGCTTCACAAACGATCTCTGTTGTTACCTCTTTTGAGCGATTTCCTAGAGGGAACTTGGGGTGATACAAATCACGGCCTGCCACGAGTATCTTTGTTTCTGCCTTTGGTGGCAATGTCAGTGAAGTTGCTAGCAAAGCTAAGGCATCTGCATAGGCATTATGGTCCCATGGAACGTGTCCGATAAAGAATCCCTCAAAATTTTGAGCTAACTTTAGTTCCGTAAAGTGGTATGGGATCAAATCCTTATTGTGCACTTTGTATTCTCCTCGGACTTGATTTACGATGAGTTGAGAATCACCGTAGGCTTTAAGGTATTGGATGTTGAGCTCCTCGGCCAGCTGTATTCCTAGTAGCAAAGCATTGTACTCCGCTACATCGTTAGTGCATGGCTCGATTAAGGAAAATCCTCTTGGGATCACCTGACCAGTTGGGAATACGAGCACAACCCCCACACCGGCTGTGATTCCTCCATCGAGACTTTCTCTAGATGCTATGTCGAAGAACAATTTCCATACTTGCATGACTCCTTGAGTTACATAAGCCTTTGCAACTTCGTCTGGTAAGTCTTCATATAATCTAGAAGAATCAAGCACTGGATGGTTAGCTAAGAAATCTGCTAGGGCTTGGCCTTTAACAGCTTTCTGAGGCATGAACTGTATTGAACACTGTGACAGAAGTATTGCCCATTTTGTAAGGCGGCAATTTAGCGAAGAAGGTTTCGTCATGAGAACTCTCAAAGAGTTTACTTTGGAGATAACATGAATAGTTTGTCCAACTAAGTAAAGCCATATTTTCTGAATGGTGAAAACCAAGGCAAGGCATTCTTTTTCCACTGGATTGTACCGGTGTTCAGATCCAATCATGGTTCTACTGAGGTAGCAGATTGCCTGCTCATGGCCCTCATCATTGTTCGGAGCTAATAAAGCTCCAAAAGAATGTTCCATGACCCTCACATATAACAGGAATGGTTTTCCTGTCACCGGGGCCACTAGAACGGGTAGCTGAGTGAGATATTGCTTGATCTCCTCAAATGCCTTTTGACAGTTTCCATCCCAAACAAAGGAGACCCCTTTCTTCATTAACTTGGTGAAGGGCTGGCAGCGTCCTGAGAGGTTTTATATAAATCTCCGGATATAAGCCAATCTGCCCTGTAGGCCTCTGAGTTCCTTGATATTCTTCGGAGATTGCATCTCTTGGATAGCCCGAACCTTTTCTGGATCAAGGGAAATACCTTTAGAGGTGACTATGAACCCAAGGAATTTACCATTGGATACCCATAGGAAAGATTTGGTGGGGATCATCTTCAGTTGATGTACTCGCATGATGTCAAATATCATCCTCAAGTCTAAGAGATGGTCGCCTTTCTTCTGGCTCTTCACTGCGATGTCATCTACGTAGCACTCTACCTTTTTGCGAAAAGAGATGGTCGCCTTTCTTCTGGCTCTTCACTGCGATGTCATCTACGTAGCACTCTACCTTTTTGCGAAGATGTTCATGGAAGATCGTGCTCATGCTTCACTGCGATGTCATCTACGTAGCACTCTACCTTTTTGCGAAGATGTTCATGGAAGATCGTGCTCATGGCACACTGATAGGTTGCACCAGCATTCTTCAGTCCAAACGGCATTACTGTATAACAGTACACCCCCAGTGGTGTTCTGAAAGCTGTGTGCTTTTCATCTTCAGGGTGCATTTTGATCTGATTATATCCTGAGAATCCGTCCATGAAAGACATTCTCTCATACCCATAAGTATTGTCAATCATGACGTCCGTAATGGGAAGGGGAAACTCATCCTTCGGACATGCGGCATTTAAGTCACGGAAGTCGATGCAAATCCTGACTTTCCCATTTTGGAAACTCATCCTTCGGACATGCGGCATTTAAGTCACGGAAGTCGATGCAAATCCTGACTTTCCCATTTTTCTTGGTTATGGGGATAATGTTAGGCATTTAAGTCACGGAAGTCGATGCAAATCCTGACTTTCCCATTTTTCTTGGTTATGGGGATAATGTTAGGGACCCATTCAGGGTGTTGTTCCTCTCTGACGAAGCCTGAATCGATAAGCTTTTTAACTTCTGATTCAATTGCTTCCATAATCTCTGGACGGAACTGACGTTGTTGTTATTTAACGGGTTTCGCATCCGGATTAATGTTGAGATGACGCACGGCTACTTTTCGGTCAAGACCAGACTTGTCTTCATAGTTCCAGGCGAAGACATCTATATATTCGCGAATGAGAGATATAAGGTCCTCTTTCTCGGATGGTGATAATCTTTCACTTATAAAAATAGGCTTGGGATCGGTTTCATCTCCCATGTTTATCTGGATCACCTTATCTACCGTGGGTGACTCGCGTTGCTCGAAACACATATCCCATAAAATGTTAAGACATTTGATCCAAGGATCACCGGTCGATTTAATCAACTCCTCGTCATCCTCTTCGTCTTCGTCTGGATGACTAGATGAGGTCATATTCATAGACAAGCCCTTGAAGACTGCACCAATGCTAACGTATGAGTCCCATGACGATGTTCTAGATGAGTGGTCCTGATATAGACATTCATTTTCTGAAGAGGGGGGCATTGAAATGTAGCCTAATCCTCTCCCAGTTTTATGATAATAATCAGGAGGTTTTCCTTCTGGAGTGAAAGGCTGAATTGGTGCTCGTCTTCCTTTTCGCATCTGAGTACGTCGAAAAATTCCATCAGATCCATTCAAAGCCAATTTCAAGCCATAGGCTTGTCAGAGCTAGGGATTGGTGACCTCCTCACTCCGATCACATTAGAAGTGGCTCCAAGGTACCAGTCGTCGCTTGTACGGCCTTGATGAGGAGACATTTGTTAATCGGTCAAACACCGATGGCTTGGTTGCATGTGAGTAGCACCGGCATCCTGAGAGGACCGCAGAAATCAATCGCTCACATTGACATGAATGTGTGACTGGTTGAACCGGTCTTTCTCTCGATAACAACCCTCTCAAATCTATTACATAGCTTTGAGAAGAGTAACTCATTGAAGGGGAGACTTGGACTAACACCCCCTGTCTGTGGCTAGACGAGGCGGGTTCTTGACGAACATGGATCTTGAATCTGTGTCTATCTCTTTGAACGCAATAGCTCACATTGCGTTTAACATTAGAAACGCGAGGGTCACGTCTTAACATTGAAATGCAGGGGTCGTGTTGGGGAGAGGAAATGCGAAGGTCGCGTTTGGAGAGGAAACACGAAGGTCGTGTTTTGGAGAGGAAACTCGGAGCTGATGTTCACACTCAACGCGGAGCTGGCCTCTGTGCTCAGGCTGGGCAATGCGAGGGCCGCGCTCTTCGTGGTCGTGAGATTTGCACTCCAATTGGGAAATGCAGTCTTGAGGTCTGCATCTCAACTTTGAAACACACCACTGAGGGTTGCGTTCGGTCTGGCTTCGGCGAAGCTTGTGCTTGGGCACAAAAACGCAGAGTTCATGCTCAGAAGCAGAAATGCGAAGCTCAGGACTACGTTTGGGCTCACAAGCACGAGGTTCACGTTGATCAGAGAGTCGGCTTGCTAGAAGTTGTGCTCGTCGATGGGATCTCCTTCTTCGATGAGCATCGTTCTTCTTGGCCTATCTTAAGGCTTTTACAGTAGCATCTTCCTACGTAGAGATCAATTGCACCGCTTCAATGAGCCTTTTGCGACCCAATACCTATTGTTTGGGCATGGATGTAGGATCTTCAACTCGATTGATGAGTTCCATTAGAGCTAAGTCTTCTCCTTCAGAGGAGGGACTGTCTGAACAGTCCAACCTAAGGGAGAGACTCTCCTTTGATGGGTCGGCCATAGGTGGAGCTTTAGTCTCTTTAGAGACTTTACAGGCCATGCGCATAACCTTGGGGCTAAGGAACCCGGAGGAGAGAAACTCCTCATACTTGGCTTGGTCAAATTCCACGGTTAGAGTTTTAACAGTAGTCCCAACTAGTTGGGTATCGGATTGCACCACCACTTCTTCATCGGTAAAAGAGCTCATCCCCAACGGAGTCGCCATCTTTTGTACGCGTGGGAAATTACGAGAAACTCGAGAATTGAATCTGTATTATTCTCTCTAACTGACTTAGAAAAAGAATGATTACTATCCTCTCAATATAATTTCTCTCTAACTGACTTAGAAAAAGAAACTATAGTTTTCTTTATCGGTTCCCCGATTTACAAAAGAGGGAAGGATGAAACCCTCCCTTTGTTTAAAACTGGGTTCTTTCTTTGTGGCGATGGGAGTTTGAATATTGTATCCCATTGATGATCCGAGCACTTCAATTTTGTGGGGTGTTGGTCTTCTCTCCTTGACTTGATGTCTTGAGAGAACTTACGAGGCAAGTTTATAACTCTAGCCGATTTTTGAGAATTCTCTGTGAGAGTGTCAAGAACTTGCAAGACAAGTTCGGAACTCTACACGAGTTTGGGGGACTTGCTAGGCAAGTTGAGAAACTCTCTGTAAGAGAGTTAAGAACTCTAGGCGAGTTTAAAAGAAACTTGTTTGAACAAGTTAGAGACTCTCTATGAGAGAGCTGAGAAACTCTAGCCGAGTTTAAATCCCCAAGAAGGGTTGATTTTAGAGAGAAGATGAAACTCAAGAAAACTAACCCAAATGGGTTTAAAGAGCAAGCCAAAAAACTCCAAGAAAAGCTCTAAGAATGCTCCAAGAATCCTCTCTAAGAAGCCTCTCTCCTTCTCTTTCTTCTCTCTTTTGATCCCCCTTTTCTCCTCTTTTTCCCCCTTTTTTCCCAGCCTCTTGCTTGCTGGAGATCCAACCCTATTTATAGGGTTATCATGGAGTAAGGTAGCCTCTCTCCTTCTCTTTCTTCTCTCTTTTGATCCCCTTTTTCTCCTATTTTTCCCCCTTTTTTCCCAACCTCTGGCTTGCTGGAGATCCAACCCTATTTATAGTATTATCATGGAGTAAGGTACCCCATAACAAGCCCTTAACTATGCCCATACCTTGATGGGATAGTTTTGAAAAGTGTTCTAGCGTTAAAAACGCAAGGGTCGCGTTCTAGAGAGAAAAACACGGGTGAACTCTGTGTCTGACGACCTTCGCGTCTGGCGAGCTCTATGTCTGAGCTTGGGACGAACTCCGCGTCTGACGACCTCTGCGTCTGATGACCTCTGCGTCTGGCGACCTCCGTGTCTGGGCTTGGGACGAACTCCGCATCTGGTGACCTCTGCGTCTGGCAACCTTTGCGTCTGATGACCTCCGCGTCTGGCGACCTCTGCGTCTGGGATTGGAACGAACTCCGTGTCTGGTGACCTCTGCGTCTGGCGACATCTGCATTTGGCAACCATCGTGTTCGGATTTGTAGAGATCGTTAATTGTAATCTCTTTCCTTTGACTTCTGTGCAGATTGTCATTTTGTAATCTTTACACTTGGCCTTTGTGGAATGTGAGAGTCGTCAATTTGCTTTTGTAATCTTTACACTTGGCCTTTGTGGAATGTGAGAGTCGTCAATTTGCAACTCTAACACGTTGCTGTGAAAGTCTTTACATTGTGGAATGTGAGAGTCGTCAATTTGCAACTCTAACACGTTGCTGTGAAAGTCTTTACATTGTAACTTTTATTGACTATTTGTGGAGAACGTCAGATTGTAACTTTCGCTTGTTGATGTGAATGACGTCAGATTATATCTTTCATCATCTATTTAATCTGTGGAGATCAGCTATCTGTAGTGATTTTTAGACAGCCTACATAGGCATCAAAAATTGACTATAGGTTCTAGCACGCAACTCTAGACGAAGAGAAGATGATGAATGTTGATGTCTAAGTCAAAAAGGATTATTTGATGCCAAAGGGGAAGTAAAGGAATAAGCAAAGCGATGAAGTGATGAAGCAACAACGAGATTTAGAATGCATGGGAAATGGATGCACGAGTATTAAGAACTAAAATTTCAACCATGATACAATCCGAATCCGAAAAAACTCAAAAGACGAAAGTCATAGACCTCTTCAGCATCTTTCCAATACAACTTGAATCACCTCATTCTGAGGTCGAATGGAAGAAGTAAAGCTAAAATACCAAAGACAGTACAAACTATTTTGCACGTGCTAAACA